TATTGAACAGAGTTTGTATCTTCTGTCGGGAATGTTAGCCAAAGTTAACATTTATCTATCAATCAATCAATCAATTAAACAATCTAAATTTGGTTTGCGGTAATTGCACTATATTAGAAAATAATAAATACATATTTATACAAACATAAGTTGTAGTAAAATGGTGAAGACATGGTGACCTTCTCTGTGCAATCCCTGTCCGCCCAAACAGTCCAGAGACATTATTTTCAGTTTTTTAAGTTTCAACATGTACCCCACATGTCATATTTGTCAACTCAGATGTGTATTTACCTATAGAAACAACGTTTTTTCTGTCCTTTAAGTAGGATTCAAACCAATTTAGAACTGTTTCCGAAAGTCCCACCCAGTTTTCTAGTCGGTCTAGTAATATGTTGTGGTCACACATAGCCTAACCTTCCTCAGGCAGTGTGTTTGTACCGGGGACAGGAGACACCCCCTTGATGAGAAACTGTAAGAAATGATCGGGGAATCCCTCCGGAGTGGAGTCATGACGACTGGATCTGAATTATTCTTTTGTATTTGGTGGTTTGTGTTCCAGCTGTCGATCAGCAACTATATATCCATAATCCACCAGGTAAAGGAAATACAACTAATGTGTTGTGTTATATAAGCTGTACAATTTACCACATATGGTGTTCTTAGTTTCCATACCTCCTGTGTTTTACGAGCGACTTATCAAGTAGGCTATTGGCGAACGGCATTAAACATGATAGTATAAAACCATGCTCGTATCTATACAACCTATAGAAATGCACACGGCGTCAGTTTAAAGTAATTCTGTCCTCCTGCTTACCGCATAATTTATGAGAATACATTTCTTAACAAGAGAACATAATCGAGGGGTGATCAATAACATTTCCGTATTTATTTATTTCAATATTTAAGTTATGTTTTTGTGTGCACTGAGGAGTCTCAAACAGGCGTTTGTTAAATCATTTTAAGATTGGCTTTAATCAATTTGTGAAAATTAATTATGCATATATGATAAATGAGAGGTAACATTCTATTTATGGTATTATTTCCACATATTTCTCTCCATTCTTCCTTCTGCCAACGGTGTCGCAGTTTCTCGTCTCTCCCGTTTTTGTGCTTAATGCGTACTAGGGATGTGCATCTCCATCACTGAGGCCGATACGATGCGCATCTCTATACGCTACAAACGATACGATACATTAACGATACCTTTGAAACACCAGGCGATGCGATACGATACGATTCACCCCTGTTGCGATACAGTTCGATACGATTTGATTCAACATTATGCGATACGGGGCGATACGATGTGATTCAACACGATGCAAAATAATGATACAATTCAATATGGTACGACAGAGGATTTTGTTTTATTCCTTATATGCAGCAAATCATACATTAACAAAAAAGTGCTTCACATATTTGCTTCTCTCTACTAGTACTGTACATCCCATCATGCTGTTTCTTTTTTACCTTAAAAAAAACAAACACTTGGACCTTTCACAAACTGGCCTTTTCACAAGTGTAGTAGTGTTCTCTGTCTCCAGAGTACAGTTCAATGTTATAACACCTCACAGTTAAACAATTTAAGGATGCCCAGGATTAACAATGTGCAAATAACAACTACCATAGTGCAATGCACATACAACTGCCAGCCTGGTGTGCTTAACACTCATTCATAGGCTAACAGTGAGCAGAAAGCAGTGGTTTCTATAGGAACAATAAAGAAAATAACCTTTCACAAACAGGTATTTCATAACTGCTTACAATTGTAAGGAAGACATTTAAACTATTATTGGCAGTCAGTCTGTTGTAAACTAAACACCACTCTCTCTGACAGAACACCTCACTGAGTGATTGAACTCATATGTCTAACTTTCAGGTTTCTCTTTTCAGCCGCAGACCCATGTTGCCTCTATGTGCGTCGCTAAGTTCCTCGTACTACTTGTGTACTTTAAAGCCGCACGGCATCGTTTACAATTTGCGAGCGATTTTTCAAGTTGTCTGTCTTTCTTGAAAAATTCGAAGTGTTGCCAAACGTTTGATTTGTAGGTATTTTTCGGTGCGCTGTGTTTCTCTTTCTCCTCGACTTCCATGTGTGTTGATAACTGAGGCTCTCGGCCTCCGTAGTGGCGAAGCAAAGATCAAAGATCGTCTCTGCTGAGTGCTGACAAGATGAGGGGATATTATATGAATGAATCGTTTTTTTACCGATGCAAAGACGCTACAATCGATGCATTGCGAGTTCAACCCAAACTGTAGCCGATGTGCACTCTTTCAACCGGTGCACTCGCATCTTGAACGTTTATTCCGGTGCACCGATGCGAATCGGTGAATCTTAACATCCCTAGTGCGTACGCATGGGTCAGAGTTTGCGTGGAGGACTGCACATTTTCCCGTCAAGTTAGTTTTTTATAAATCGCAGTTTTTTTTTATAAACAGTGCGTAGAAACTGGCGTACGCCATATTTTGTGCGTCCGCACCGTTTATAAATGAGGCCCCTGGCCTCAAGTTGACTCAAGTTACTGTTTTTATGACTTACCAATTGACAGAAAGATATTCTTCTTTGTTCATTTACTGACGTTGATCCTGACAGACCGGAAACAGAGGAAAGGAGAAGCCACAACTTACAGCAGGTTGATGTTCCAAATATGACTTAACTCTCATTACTTCAAATGTTAGGGTTTCCGGATGGTTCTTTTGTAGATTGCTCCTGGCACTACATATAGATCTTGTTTCAGGGTTTCCAACACATAATGGCAAACCCCATTGGCATTTTGTGTACATTACAAATTCTGCTGGGATTCTTACTTAACTAAAAATGACTAAAAATGTAGGAGTTCCTGGGGTGATTGCTATACTTTTTTTCTTTCTTTGCACTAAAGAATAAGGCATTTACCCGTTTAGATTTTCATTCCCTGTTGTGTATTGTTTTTCTCCCCTACCACTCAAGCGGGAGGCTCACATGAAAAGCTCTCAGACCTGTTCATTTTGCAGGGGGGTGGTGTGGATTGTATTGGTGTGGATTGTATTGGTGTACACTCTTCTGCTGATGTGGTTTGGATGAAGTGGGCTGCAGAAATCAGTTTGGTTCCTCTATTGACTGGAGGGGGGCACATATGGTGTTAGTTGCTTGTCACATTCTTAAAATGTATATTGTGGCAGTGTACCTGATGTGGCTGAGTGAAAGCATGTTGACTGATGACTTGCTTGAGAGAGAGAGAGAAATTGAAGGAGTTAGAGAAGGGAAGACTGATATAAATGTGCAGAGTGCTCGTCCATCTGTAAACAGTCCTGATCCATCAAATGCCAGAGGTGTGTGTGTGTGTGTGTGTGTGTGTGTGTGTGTGTGTGTGTGTGTGTGTGTGTGTGTGTGTGTGTGTGTGTGTGTGTGTGTGTGTGTGTGTGTGTGTGTGTGTGTGTGTGTGTGTGTGTGTGTGGCTGTATTCAGGCTGTATTGTAGACTGATATAAAGACAGCTGTACTGATGTATGTACTCAGGTACTCTGATGCGGCTTTCACACCAGCGCTTTTCCCTTTCTAGCTCCGAGCTAGAGCTTTTCTGGTTCAGCTCCGGTTTCCCTTTTCTGCTCCCGCTCTGTTCACACCGCCCAGAGCCCGACTGGTGCTGCCACTGCTGCGTCATGACGTCACCGTTTACATCGCTGATTTGCTCCCCAACGGCGCTCACAACAACAACGGGGGACTGCGTCGGGTCGATGATCGTGTTGCTTTTAATCATACGAAGCCAGATTAAATTAAATAACGTCTTCTCCAACCTTATACTTTTCTCCAGAGTGCCGTGGTTCATTGTTTATTAATGTGTTTCAGCGGCATTTACCGACCGCTGCAGTGCTGGCTGCTCTTCCATGGGAGTTTATTCTCCCGTTAGCTCCGGGTTAGCTCACACGGCTCTAAAGTATTCACTGTCTGACTGTCACACAAGCAGCTGATACATATCCCCAGTTCCCCTTAAGTGAATGTGTGTCAGACTGAATTGACGCTGTTTGGCATCACAACGCTGTTATGAAAGTTTCTCTGGTATAACATGGGTGATGTTAGCATAGCAACCGAAGCTAAACTGACTATCTTGACTACTTGTTGTTGCTATCCTATTGTGGCATAAGCCGTTTTCTACAGGCACATTTTACCGGCGTATTTTTCATTATGATTCTACTTGTGATAGTCGGACATGACAACCTGTGCAGCCCATGTATTGATTCCATCCGATAGCTGCTATAATAAAAAACAAAACGTCTGCCTGCTCTCCACAATGATCAATAACAGCGAACGGATGGTCATAACACACTCTCACTCCCAACGCGTCCAGGAGCGACGCTTGGTCAGAATTCCGTGGCGTCCAGTTGTGATGCACCGAGTCTCCATCAGCGTCATAAACGGATGCAAAGAGCTTTCAACTGATTGCAATGTATTCCCATCGGCGGCGGTATTTGACGCTTAGGGAAGCATGGCATTCGTTTGTGTCGGCAGCTGTTAAAGGCAATGTGAGCGTCCATTCCCATTGGATAACGGAGAATTGTACACCCGGAAGTAAGTATTCTCCTTACTGTCGATTGATTTGACAGTGATATCTCCATTACTCATCCACTCAAAAACACCAGATTACCTTTGTTAATTAAACAACATTGATAGGTTTAAATTGTGTACAATGCTTTTGTGTTTTTCCCCTTCAATTCTGAGACAACTTGTTTTCTCTGAAATGTGGAGCACCAAAGAGACTACACTACCCACAATCCCCAGCTATTGTTGTGACGACTTATGTCCGCTTTGCGACAAAACCTCGTGATAAGTCAACAAGCTCTGTGATTGGATGAAACATAAATAGGTGATATCTGCACTACACATTAACTCAAAAACACCAGATTATCCTTGTTAATGAAACGACATTGATAGGTTTTAGTGTACAATGCTTTTGTCACGTTTTCCCCTTCAATTCTGAGAAACAAGTAGTTTTGAGTTTTGGATGGCCGAAGACACTACACTACCCACAATCCCCAGCTATTGTTGTGACGACTTCTGTCCGCTTTGCGATTACATTACCCACAATCCTCAGGTACCGTCGTAAAGACGGCATACCTTTGCACTTTACGTGACCAAACCTGGATGAGAGAGTCGCAGTTCTTCAGAATCAAGGTAAGAGCATGGGTAACACATAGTTATAGGAAATAAATTTAGCCACGAATAATAATAATAATAATCTAATCTGCGCCAATGTTGTTTCTGGCACCTTTCTGAGGGGTATATTAACTAAATAATATAGGGTATTACCTAAATATAACAAATGAACTCGCCTGAGCTAGCTTGCTAGCTAGCTAGCTAGCTAGCTAGAAAACGCACTGCAATTTCTCCATAGGATTTTGGAAAATAGCTCGAAATAAGGTCTGTGGTTGACACACATTTAAGAGACGGATCACGTTTTGTTCAGCCGGATAATCTCCACATGTCTACTCTGCTTTTATAATTTTCGAATCGTAAATCTATTAATAATACTTTGTATACATGTGTTTTTAGTATTAATAGTAATAATACTTTTATAATTTTTGTACAAATTACTTATTTAAATGACTGGTGGCAGTGATTTTGCTGTGCGATGGTGTGAAAATACCTTTAATGACAACAGTAGTAAGCATTAATTGGTTATTAGCCAAGTAGAAAATTGTAAACAACAACAATTACACTGGCATTGTTTGTTTATTTTTGAGTTTCTAAATTATGTTGTTTTCTCTCAACAGATCCTGCAATTTGTTCTCCAAAAAACAACCCTTTGTTTTTCCAAACTCCAAACAACCCAAAGGCACTTTTAAGAGCCAAGTCTGTCTTGTTAAACTGTCCTTGCTGTGTTGTACTTGATAGTCTATTCCTATCTCTCTATTTCTTTCTCTGTCTAACTCTGTTGTCAGTCTTTCTTCTGTGTCTCTGTCTGTGTCTCTTCACTATAATGAGTGATTCTGATCTTGAGGATCTCCTGAGAAGCGCAGATGAGCTGGTTGAGCAGAAAGAGTTAAGGGATGACCTACGGAGTGCTGATGATTTGCTTTGTAAAGTGGAAGCAGCAGCAGCAGCAGCAGCAGCAGCAGCAGCAGCAGCAGCAGCAGCAGCAGCAGCAGCAGCAACAGCAGTGCCAGCAGTGTCAATGATGTGCTGGAAGAAGAGAGACAGTGAGGGAAACTTGATCTTTGCAAGACCACGTTCAACCCGGAATGTCTCAAATCAGGGTCAGTATAAGATATATATTTCTAGGCACTTGAGTATATGAAATGAATGAAAACATAACTCTTGGTAAGGGAAAAGTAGTACAATTTAATGGTATAAAATAAATGTTTTTTCTGATACAGCTGGCTGCAGTCGTAACACTGATCCCCCCGTTGATGCTCCTGACCCTGACTGTGATCTGATCTTTGCTCCAGCTATCGCTCCAGAGACTGTTGGTATGTACTTCATATGGTCTGGTTAGCCCGAAACACATATTCATACTTGTATCTTTATGTGATACGTACTTCATTTCTAAACTTCATAATTTGCTAGAATTAAGAACACAGTAGTTACAGCTTTCAAAACCACTCCATCCAGTATGTTTTAAAGAAAACTAATCATTGTGCTTTGGACTTTATTGTACCATTTTAACAGAGGGGTTTCTACGAGATCTCCAGCAGTCTCTGAGCGATACTACAGGAGATGAGGTGGTAGCACAAACCCCAAGTGCTTCTCTGCTGGCATCGACCAACTGGAGCACTCGAAAAAGGTTTTTTTCAGAGAGCTGGAGGGCAGCGAGACCACATCTGGTTAACACCGTAGTGGCCCAAGCAAATGTGGGAACACACATTTGCCAACAGTGTTGGAGCAAAACGTCTGTTGTCCGGTGCCGGGATTGCCGACCACATCCCTTCTTCTGTGCTGACTGTGATGTCAGCATGCACACCAGACACCCCCTCTACAACAGAGATGCTACTACTGCAGGTTACTTCCAGCCATTGGCCCCAACAACACATGTACTAAATATGGCCCTTTGCTCCTGTGGTAAGTTCTGGTTTGTGAATGTACATTTTCTTGCTGGACTTGTTGAGAACTTCATTTTGAAAATGTGAGCTTCCTCAACATCTCTGTGTTAATTCCCAGCAGTGTGCTTAAGTCTCTTTTTAATGTTCTGATGTAAAGTTAAATCCTAAATATGTCACATAACAATATAGTATTTCTCAAAAGAGACAAATTATTTTTAATTCCCATTTGAATTTTTTTCCAGTGCGGTTTGTACCTGTGGAGATCCCGGACTAAATCTGTGGTTGTGCATCAGAGTCATTGAGCCTCAAGCCAGGAAAGACTGTGACTGTGATCACAATGAATGGTAAGAATGGGAAGAATGTTTGTCTTGTTTCTTAAAGGGCCCATGTCATGGCCATTTCCACTGATCATAATTACATTGTTGAGGTATACTAAAATAGATTTATACTGTGCAATTTTCCAAACTCACATTGGTTTCGCATACAGCATCTCTGTCAAGCATGTGTATTCAGCAGTATTCACTCTCTCCACTAAACGACTCGTTGGAGCTCTTGCCCCCCCCCTCCCTGTGAGCCTAGTGTGCTCCGATTGGTCAGCTCGGCCACTCTGTTCTGATTAGTCAACCACCAGAGAGGCTCCGCCCGCTTTTTTCGGGGAACATCAGTGTAATAATGGCGTTGGTACAGCTGATATTTTATACGCTAACTAACCGAACTGAACCTACAACTGTTGTTATAGAAGAGTGTGACGGCCCCAGGGCCTTTGTGCAGGTGTGTTGCAGGTCTTACGGTGGGGTGGAGCTGAAGAGGCTAATCAGCGCGATCACGGACACCTCCGTAGCCGGTGCTATTAATCCCAGCGGCTCGGCGATTCTCTCCCCGACCACCTATCTCTGCATTTACCACAATAAATGTGCCGTGGTTTTGTAAACTCGTGTATGTCTCCTTGCCTTTCCGTTGTGGCCTAAGAGCCGGTCATAACAAAGAGTAAGTTCTTTTTACCTGTAATAAACTACTACTGTTTGATGAGAAATCAAATCATGGTTTGCTATATATGAATGATATGTTATAGGAGCAAATAATTCAGGGAAGAAAGGATAGGCCTACTAAGTATTTCCATTAAACTTTCTTTTTATAAATGTACAAAATGAACATAAATCATCATCCATTCCTCCCCACATCTTGCCTGGGCGCAGCCGGTGCCTTTTAGCACGAGGCCTCAGTAGTAGTAGTGTAAGCATTGGGTTGTAGTCCCGTCCCCGTCATGTATTGTCCGCCAGGATCTGGCTGGACGAAATCAAATGCAAATCACAAAATATTAGAGAAACTTAGTTGTTTTAGATTCGTTAGTAGTAGTTGTGGTAGGAGTGTGGATCTATCTAATGAACAGCTTGCCTGCTAATATGCTAACCTAGCTTTGTTTACCTTGGTAGCTAACACGATATGAACGTTAGCTTGGAGGAACGGCAACTATAATGGAGTGTAATAAAACTACTATGAACAAAAGCTAGTGGTTCATATTAGGCTAGCAATAACGTGTTTATAATTGCAATCGTATACGGGTATTCTGCTACGTTCGGTCATACATTGTAACTTGCATGAATACATTGTTTTGCGCTAGCATACAGCTAGCCTCGTTAGCTATACATGCAGTATGTACATGTACTGTCACAATGTACGGTAAATCACCCGGAGTATACTGTATGAGTATTCCGTGTGTGACTGCAGACATTCTCCTGCCATGACAAACATGTAAGGCCATCTGCTGACATTGTAGTTGATATATTTAAACGCTAGCAACGTAGCATAACAAAAATGTTTTTCCGACCAAACCTAGGTCTAGCTCCGTGGGTTAGATCGGTAGCATACACGCTACGCCAGCTATAATGTAATTACGTTTCGCGACTGACCGCACGGCAAATCACCCGGAGTATACTGTCAATAGGTATTTTGTGTGTGAATGCAGACATTCTCCTGCTATGAGATACATGTATGCAAGGCCATCTGCTGATATTAGAGTTGATATATGGAAACGCTAGCAACTTAGTTAGCACAGTTAGCACTGTGTCAATGGCTTAGCAGTCCAACACAGTTTACACATTTAAACAGTCTTGTTTGATAAATACACAAATAACAATGCAAACTTACAGGTTGTGTACCCGAATCTTCCCCTGCTCCAAACGGTCCAAACAAGCTGTGCATATCCGGCCTCAAACTGGGCAATGTTTTGGAAGCTTTCGTCTGTGAAATGCCGGTTCTTCGAACCTCTGAAGGAACAGTGTTAAAAAGAAATTTCAACCACTGACTTCGTCGTGGTTCTTCCGTCGGTAGGACAAACAGCTCAGATTTCTCCTCACATTTCAGGAAACAGGTCCTTGGCAGTGGCATGACTGGATCGATTGTGAACTGAACCAGAGCTTCCAACAGTAAATGTTAGGCTGGCAGAGGGTGCGGCCAGCGCCGCTGGGTGTGGCCATAGCTCTTCGGGATTGGTCCATTTCGTTCCGGGTACCGCATGACATCAGGCCGTACCCGGAACTAAATGGACGACTCAAATGGGCAGTGACGTATCTCCAACGAGGCGTTTTGGGGAGGTATTTTCTGTGTTAGAGTTTTACTCGCTACAGGGTGTACTTTGAGGGTTTTGACTCTGCACACCGTTTACATGCATAAAAACCTTCATAACACACAAGGGGACGGGTAATAACCGGAAAAGCATGACATGGGAGCTTTAAGATAGATGTTATTGAAGTTTCTTCTTGATAATATCCAACCCTTCTCAAAGACATGTGGGATAGCTTGTCTATTAAACCTTAACATGGGTATTGAGTAAAGAATACCAAATGTATTAAAAACACCTTGTCTGTTTTTCAAGGACGACATGAGCTAAGCATGCCAGAATTGGCTTGTGAAGCATGCGCTGCGACATGGACGACTGGGGTTGACGACCTTCTTCGGAATGACTACTGGCCAGCTACCCTTCACTTCGCCACCATTTATGCCATTTTCTTCTCATTTGAAGAAATGAAAATGGCTGCACCTGGACTATCCTTTCAGGCATATTTAAGGATGCTCGATCAGCGAACGTTGCGCTTCGGCCGTGTGAGTATTGAAGTTACTTGTCCTTTTTGATCTATTTGTATTGTACAAATTGTAAGCTGTGTCCTTATAATTTATAATTTATTTTTGACATAATTATCTGTTGATGTCCTTATTTTGTTATAGACTGGGAAGATCTCAACTGACAGCTTCATCAAAAGTTTCTTTGAGTGGGAGGCTGTGCGTTATGAGGTCGACATCATGTGCAAGGAGGAGCCCTTCACCTGTCCTGCGTGTAGCCCTGATATGCTTGCAGTTTCCGTGGATGGAAACCGCAAGCATTACCGTTTCAAGAATGCAGCTAGGTACTATAGAAAATATATAATGTCACAGTATTTGAACAAATAACGAAACAAAAGTATCTTGATGTGAACCAATCAACCTTATAATCTGAGATGTCATACATTGCTCCTTTGATTTATTTAGATCTGAGGAACAGGCCATCTTTGACGGTGTCTTTATAGCCAGGGATGAAGACGTCTCAAGATTTGTGGACTATATACACACCACAACCAAACATGTAATATTGCAGACTCTAATTATGTATAATATAATATCCTAATGAAGGGTTTGGTTAGGTTAGTCTTTGCACCATTTTCATCAATACATTTTTATATATTAGGTCTCCGGAAGAGGTGTTTGTGGAGGACAGTGGTCGGCAGCCAGAGAGACCTCCCAAAAATCAGCCGGCAAGCTGGATGAGGAGGGACTAGAGCTTGCCGTCTGTCGACATGGAGTGCTCCTCTGTGCTCTCAATATGTACAGGGGAGAAATCTTTGCTTATCCCCTGTACCTACAGAAAAAGCTGGCCAGTAGTATGTTCTTTTGCATGGATGTGACCTGCAAATATTGGCCCTACCTCCAGAGAATCACAAAAAGCTGTCCAGAGCTCCAGCATCTTCTCGACATGAAGCCCTTTCTCTCAGTGTTTCATGCCAAAGCGCATGACTTCAAATGTGAAGTAAGGAATTGTTACCATGTGACACAATCACTTTACTGTATGTAAAAACCTCCTTGTGAATAGTGACAAGTTGTAACGAGTCGTACTTTTGAATATATTTTAAACAGGTGAAATGGAGTGGGGCATATCAAGAGGGGGCTGGACTAACCCTAGGGGAGGAGGTGCAACAGGTCAATGCCTTCCTCTCTCGGATAGCAGTGACCACAAAACACATGTCAAAAGCAGGTGAGTTACGATAGAACCTTTACTGTCAGTTTTCAAAAAATGTTCAGAAAGGCACAGATTACACTAATAAATTACACCAACAACACAAACTCATAAAAGCTCATTGACGGTTATGACCATAGAACACCATTTAGGATGGCAATATATTATAAACCCCAGTTACAGTATAAGAAGTAAGAGGAATAGTAATAATGTGATATTCTCTTTTGCAGGACGTACAGACATGCTGACGCTGATGGCCATGCGCTGGAATCAGCAAAAAGTTAGCAACTTGGCCACCTCACTGTCCCCCAGATATCTGAAGGTAATAACATAGTTTTAGAATAATTATTTGTGGCTGCAGCCTAAATGTAGATTTCTGTATTTACTTGTCTTTAATTGTTTGACGTTTGTAGACCACAAAAGCTCTGGAAAAGCAATTGCAGAACCTGGAGTCCATGAAGGCTGAGTTGGCAGTGACTGAAAAGCAGCTGGAAGACTGGGTCAGAGATGTGAATGAGTGGGCAGAAAGTGAGGACAATCTTAATGACGTTTTTCAACTTTTTTGTAGTCATGATTTATCAATTTATTTTAAATTTTCAGAATTAGTGATAACCCTCTATTGACATTTGCATTACTTATTTTTCATGAAGCATATGTAATAAAATAATATTAAAACATTTGATCAAATGTCACTGTTATTGTGAATTACTGCTTAATACACCTATTTCCTCTAAAAAGCAACAACAAACAACCCAAGGGATGCTGCTGCTTTGGCCAGCAAGATCGAAATGCTGACAGTAAGTGTCAAGAGACGTTTGCAACGTCTCTACAAAGACACAGACAGCAACAAAGGTCGTTCCCGGATCCGCCGCAAGATCAGGGATGAGAAAGGGGTCCTGACAGCCACAGTTGAGAAATACAACTCAATGGTTCCAAGCACAGAAGCGCTGTGCCTCGAAGCCATTCTGTCTGTGGAGAAAGCTTGGCCATGGCAGCTACCAAACAGTGGTAAGTACACCAGTCTGCTGAATGCTCACAGCAAATGTGGAAAACCTTCATGTCTGATATATAAATCTATTTAAGACTTCATAGATTCTTTGAATGTTGATCTTTCATACACATTAATTCATGTTTTCTCATAAATGCTTTCCAGACTCTTTCGACCTCAGGACAAAGAGAAGAGCATTCGACCTTGTCATGGCAGTGAAGAGACTACAGGAGGAGAAGAAGATTCTCGTCACAGAAATGAACCACCACTGGAAGGTCCTTTCAACCCGCAGTGATTCCCTGAAAGAGATGTCCTGCCTGCAAAGTACAGTATATATTACATTTTTACTTTGCATGACTTTACACATCAGTGATAGGTGATGAAGTAACTAATATTGTCTTTATCTTATACATTTTAGATTCACCATTGGGCCTGAGCGAAGACGGGATGAAAGGTCTCCAGAGCATGTTTAGGAAAAAGCAGCACGACATCGGAGAAATGAAGACTCATGCTAGACGATGCTATCTGCAGCTTTTGACTGGAGCAGAGACCATCAGCTTCTTGCAAAGTCTTTCAGATGAGTCTTCTGACTGCGACTCTGACAGCTCTGATGACACACGGTGAAGCCCCCTCCTGACTACCTTCTATTTAACATCTACATGCTCCCCCTCTGTGAAATACTCCGCCAACATGGTCTCAACTTCCACTCCTATGCCGACGACACCCAACTCTACATCAGTACCAATCCATCATCCCAGCTACCCCCACTGTCACTAGTCAACTGCTTCCGCAACATCCAAACCTGGATGTCAACAAACCTACTGAAACTCAACAAAAACAAAACAGAGCTCATGGTTGTGGCCCCAAAAACACTGCTCCGGAAGGTTGGAGATCTGCTCCTCACCGTCGATGGCTGCTCCATCCAGCCTGGGCGTCACTCTGGACTCTAGCCTCACCTTCAACTCCCACATCAGGTCTACTGTCAAAACTGCTTTTTTTCACCTTCGAAACATCTCCAGACTCCGGCCCTCTCTCCCCGACCCCGTTGCAGAAACATTCATACATACCTTCATCTCCTCACGCCTGGACTACTGCAATAGAGTTCTGTTCGGGGTCACCTGCAAAGCCCTGGACAGGCTCCAGTACGTCCAGAACTCTGCAGCCAGGCTCCTCACCCGCACTAAGCCCTGGCAACACATCACCCCCACCCTCCTCCACCTTCACTGGCTCCCGGTCAAGTCACGCATCCAGTACATGCATACATCTCTGACCTCCTTCAGCCCTACACCCCCTCTCGTCAGCTGCGGTCCTCCGACAAAAGAAAATTACACATTTCTTAATGTCTTAATATGTATGTCCAGTAAGTTATTCTTCAGGTTGTTGATATGCTGTTGAAGGCATTTTCTATCATTTCATTTTATTCAGATGTTATTACATGTCTACTCTGAAACACTATGTAAACAAGGTCCCATAACAATAAAGTTGATAAAAATTGTTTTGACTGTTCACTCATGTTCTGTTTGTATCTCTGTTTAGCAAACACACATACTGATTAGCACCACGAGGGGGCGGATAAACCTTTTTGTCTGATGTTTTAAAATATGTGCAATAATGTAGCTATATCCTGTATATATCACATTTAAAACAACCTTCAGTTGACCAAAGTGCTGTACAGGCAATAACTACAATATTAAATAACACAATGGGAGTACAATAATAAAACAATAATTAAAAACATGATAAAAAGCACAATAACTAGAAACATATATTTTTTTAAACATACAAATGTAAAAATGTAATGTTCAACTAGTATTAAAAGTAATGACTAACATGAATAAAACATCTTCAGGTGTTATATATACATGTACATATCTGTCCTACACTAATAATGAAACAGATAAAATGGCATTGTATTCTGTGTACCTCATTTGTTTGATCCTCATAAATTACCTTTCAAACACCTCATCAGTTGCCTGTTTTTGACTTAGCCTACATAATTAGCCTACACCTGGTACAATGCCTTAGCCTCATATAGTCCATATTTAGCTTGATAATGGTAGTTAGATATGTAAATTAACATAATGTGTTTTTGATAGCATTGTATACCATGTGTACTTTATACGTCTGTATTATTCACCTAGTGGTTAAAGCACGTTATTACACGTTTACAGTCATTGCAATGCCGGTAAGGTTGTGTTGCTAATCTCTGCTGCATGTTTTGTTGAATGGGTTACATTTGATGAAAACATTTAAATATTAAGAGTACATACAAATAGGGGGAAAGTAGAAGGTCAATGATAGAAATATAGAATAGAAATATAGAATAGAAAATATCAACAAGATAGGCTACTGTAAGTGATCTCTACAATAAAAGTTTAGTGCCGGATGTACACAGATATTAATAGGAGGATGTGCAAATCAGGCAAACTAATCAGGCTTTATTAAAACATTAAATAATACTTTAAGTTAAGGTCTTCTTTTAAATACATGTAAGTAAAAAGCTTTGGTAAATCTACAGATAAATATTAAGCCTGACAAAGTACTTAAAGTCTAATATATTGCATAATTTGTTTTGGGACTTGACAATCAACTTTCCTGCAATGTTAACTACGTTTAAGCACTTATTTTAACTGATATTACATATT